CCGCCACTCTTGCTGCAGCAGCTGCTGCGGCCAGAGTGGCGGCAGCTGCGGCAGCAGCAGCAGCTGCAGCAGCAGCTGCTGCTGCTGCCGCAGCAGTCGGTACAGGGTACATCCCTTATGAGCTGTAGTTAGCGTTTACAGGAGTAAGAGTTACTACTGCCACTGCTGCTGTTGCTGCTGCTGCTGCTACTACTACTACTGCTGCTGTTGCTGCTGCTGCTGGAGAGGTTGAAAGGGACACAGAGGTCTGCAAGATGAGCTGCTTGCTCCGTTTCTGTTTCTCTTTCTCTTAGATTCCACTCTTTAATAGCAGTAATGAGGAGAGCACAGCCAATCAACAGACATCCGGGACCCCCTACGCCACCTCCTGCTCCCCTAAGGGCGTCTGTTAATGCTGCTGGGGGCAACGAGAGAAGGAAGCACATCGCAACCAGCATAGGCGAAGGCAGCAGCAGCAGCGAGACCTGCAGAAGAATGTTGTACACCGTACTGCATAAGCAGGAGAGCACCAGCAAGAAGCAAGCGAGAGGAGGAGGCATTGAAGAAGTAAAGACCTCCAACCCCAGCGCATATAACAAAGGCAGAGGCAGCCACATAAACAGCAACGCCAACGCCCCCATAACCCCCGAAATAAAAAAAACAAACAAAAGTGGCTGTGTTGATCTGTTCTGCAATAAATACCCTTTATACAAAACCTCAAACAAACCATAAGCAGCAGAAGCTAGCACCGAAAGAAAAACCCCCAGAGAAGACTGCGGCTCTCCTTGGCTGCTGTACGTTATTAAAGCCACTCCAACTGCTGCTAATATAAGTGCAACGATTTGAATGAAGTCGTCTGCTCCTTCTTTATATAGAAGAGAAGTAAACAAGAAAACAAACAAAGAATTTGTGCTGTATATAGCCGTAACGCTGCAAACGCTCATCCCTGTAGCACCCACAGCAAAACTCCAGCACCAGCCTTGGAGAATAAAGAGACACATTAAAGAAAAACAAGCAGCAATAAGCATGCAAAGCCCTTCATACTTCAACTCTTCATTCAAGAATGCATGCACACTGACATCGTATGCCTCCAGATACGGCCGATACACCCGCAGCAGCCACTGACGCCGAGCCCAACACATGAAACCACCACGGTCCTCCCCTGCTGCTGCTGCTGCTTCTGCTTCTTCTTCTGCTGCTGCGCTCTCGTTCATCGCATCAGCATCCAAAAAGCTTGCCTCTGTTGCTGCTGGTGCTGCTGGTGCTGCTGTATGAGGGACAGCTAGGGAGGGCTCCGCAGCAGCATGATGCCAGTCGAGGTGTTGCTGTGCTGCAGTATCCTCTGTCTCTGCATGTATGCTGGGCTGTCTCCTCAGGTCTTCGTTCTGTGCATTGTGAATAGCCGAACCCTCCTCCCCTCCTGCATGCAGCGCTGTATCCGCCGCGCTGTTTGCTGACGCATTTTCGCCGGTGAGATGTAGCACCCCAGGCCCATCTAAAGCACTGCTGCTGCTGCTGCTGCCGCTGCTGCTGCAGGTGCTGCTGCGACGCCTGCGCCTATAGTATTTCTTCTTGATGGTTCGGAGGGAAATGAAAAGAAAAATGATTTGACAGACCTCCGGCAGCCACACCATGAGGTACGGCACTCGCAGACGCTCCATCCGCATCTCAGGTGTACGTACACTGCAACCTTCGGGCGGAGAGGCATGACCATCAGCTTGGGGCGGACAGGGGGGCAGCAGCAGCTGTTGTTGCTGCTGCTGCTTGTGCTGATCGCCTTCTGTAGGGAAGGTGAACACCTGGTGCTCCTGCTGCTGCAACACGCGCGTCAGCACCCCGCTGGTGATGTACAGCACAATGTTTATTAAACAACACAACAACCCCACCAACAACGATTCGGTCGAAGTACCCGTGTAGCGGTGGATAAGAGGAGGCAGAATAGACAAAGAGGGTAGAAAAGAAACTGAAAAAGGCGCGTAAGCCCCCTCCTCACCCCTGTTGCTGCTGCTGCTGTTGCTGCTACTGCTGCTGCTGCTGCGTGTCGGCTGGGCGATGCTGGAACTGCAACGGGAAAAAGGAAAAGACGGCCCTTGACTCCCTGAGTTCAAAGAAGAGAGGTGGCTCCTCCCTTCCGGATCATCGTTTTGCTGCTGCTGCTGCTGGTGCTGAAGTTGCTGTTGCTGCTGATGCTGCACGGGCGCTGCAGCTGGCGGCGGCTCGGCTGCATTTTCCAGAGAAAAGGAGTGAAGAGAGGAGGTGCGGTCTTCTGGTTCATTTGTAGCAGACAATGGGGTGTATGTGCAGCTCAACAACTCCCCAGTGCCCTGCAGGCCCCCGTAGGGCTCGTCAAGAGACATTGTGCAGAAGCGACGGCATCAGACCTCAAGGTGTGCATACAGCTCAAAAGACGAAGAGGGAGGGGCTTACTGCAGCATATAATCCTCCGTTTATTCCTTTAAAACTCGTCGTTTTAAGCTGAAAAGCTGCAACAGGTGCCGAGACACTGCAACACGTAAGATATCCACACATACATATAAGTACACCACCGGCTGCGGGGGATCTCCCAGAATGTTTAAGAAAGCTGAGAGATCTTCTAATTACCTATTATACTGCTTTTCACTCCTCTGCAGCTCTTCATAGGAGAAGAAAAAATGCTACATTCAACCAACAGAGGGCAGCAGCACGTGGCTGGCCACCCCAAACCGATTGAGTGCGAGGCCGGGGAGCTGGCTGACGGGGAAAAGAGCGTCAATAAATTTACATTTATTTGCTTTGTGCATTTTATTTGTGTTGATTTCTTCATTTTCAACTCATATTTTATGCACAAACACTCCATTAAAGAGACGCCGCCCTCTGTCTGACTGTCGCTGCATACTCCGAAGCTCGCAGCAGCCGTTTGCTGCTGTGCTGTGCTGTTGTGTCTCTGTCTTTTCAGCAGCGAGAACAGCAAAACGCCCTCCTCCCGGTGTGGATTGAAGAGTACAAACGTAATTATAGATGAAGAGGAGGATATTCAGAAAAAAGAGATCTGAATAAGGTAATATTATTACTATTCATAAACTCAGCAGGGCACCTCTTGCTGTACTGTCTTGGCAGCTGCGCCCCTTCGACACGGCGTCGGCGGACAACGGCTAAATGGATACTTGAATATCTGCGCTGCCTGCTGAACATATTTCAGATAAAATGCGAACTACTATACACAACAAAGGAGCAGCTTCCCTCTTCAGTGCACACACCAACCCGGGTTGGGTTGCCCACCTACCCCCGTAGCGCCTGAAGCAGCAGCTGAAGCAAGTGCCGCAGCTGCTGAGTTGAAGAAGAAGAAAAATAAATAGCCTTTTGAATCTCATAACCTGTCGAAGGCTAGATTCATACAAGCCCCATATGTTACTGCTGCCTGCCGGTGAGGCGGCTGGTGCTCCTCCTGCATAGAGAACCAGTGGTCATATCGGGGTGAAAAGGGCTGAGGGAATTGCAGTATTCAAGAGAATAAATTCAACACCGCGTCTTAGGTGCAATGTATGATTATGGCTGGCTTTCATGTATCAATTTACAAGATGGCATTTCGCTCAACGCGGAACCAGCAACACCAACTTGCCGGGAAAATCAAGGGGTGCAGCCGACGCTGTGTCTGCTGCTAGCGGTTCCTCAACAGAGGCTAAATAGAAATTTACGAGTCCACAAAGTTAGCAAGCATATTTCTGCCGTGTCACGATTGCATCGAGTATCTATGAAATATATCTGCCCGATGACGTTCAGATACTGCGGTGTCTCTACACCTGGGGAACGGCGCTAATGTGCATTTGTTTCGAGCGCGAGAATATTGAAGCAACCAGAGGAACATCGACCATATGGCCGAAATTAAGTGGGAATAGACCTTTACCCGCTATGGGATGATGATTGTTTTGCTTCTAAAGGCTTGTCTCTGCGTTTTTCTTTCCCAGTTTTCTCTCAGCACCCCTCTGCATCGCCATCACGACCTGAAACGGCGGCATGGCGCCGCTGCGGAGGAGGAGGTTTCTCTCCCAATCCTCGATGCAGACCATTTTAATTCACGTAGCGTGGGTAATACTTTTTGTCGTTTGTTTTTGTGCTGCACAAAACACCAAAAACCCGCTCTTTTCTCTTCAGCCCCACTTGAAAAGTTTCCATGCCACGACTGGACAGCACAGCTTCGCCTCGAACGCCGTCATCTTCTACAGGTCTTGAAATGCGAATTGCAGCATAGTTGAACAAATGATCAATGTGTTATCGCCGCTGGGCGCTACAGGAGATCAAACGGCTGGCCGCGAGGTCCCTGTACACCCGAAAACAGCTCGAACGAGTTGTTGGAAGCGCAGTGGTTCTGAGCGTCTTGCGAGCAAATCAGAAGTGGATAACCGACGAAAATATTCAAGGTGCTGCTCACAGTAGACGTGTCTGCATTTGACCTTTGAATTACCGTCAGATTTCTTCTGTGGTTCGAACCTGCACAGGGATTATTGAACGTGATAGAGAGCAGCTGCAGGTCGGTCTTGAACAAATAATAGCCAACTAAAACTATGCAGTGTACACATGCATATCTCCCCTTAGTCAAAGCTGTCCAAAGAGATGCATGAACGCGCACGAGACTTCAAAACAAAAGCAAAAGATGCCCTGGAGGAGGAGGAGGAAACGATAGGTGTTGTTTGTTGTTGCTCTGCATGCATGCATATGCTGTTGTGCATCTACAATTGCAGCGTCTTGTGGACCCGGCAAAAGGAAAATCATAGTCGTGGAAGAAGGTCTGTTATTTTGCATTTCCTCCCTTCTTTATCTTGCTCTTGCAAAACACACCAGCAGCGCCAGCACCATCAGCAGCAGCAGCAGCCGAAGAGAAACCGCACGAGATCCATCCTTCGCCCACTCCCCCCCCTCCCCAAATCCAAATAATACCTTTGCCTGTTCCTTTTCAAAAGGAAGAGGCTGAAAGAGAGTCTGCAGGAGAGGAACAAGAGATGCAGCACCTCCCACCGGAAACACACCGCCTCACACACAAAGTACAACTGCCGCCAATTCAGCCAAAGCGCATGCGGCATCCACTTTCTGAAAGGGACTTAGAAGAGGAAAAGGCAAGGATGGAAGGAGAAGTGATGGAAGCGCCAAAAGAGGAAGAAGTGAAGGAACAAAGAGAAGAAGAAAAAAGAGAAAAGGCCGCTCAGCAAGCACCCGAAGTACCCGAAGAAGAAGAGGAGGAAGAGGTTTGCCTCCTAACTTAACTCTCAACTGCAAACTAACAAATATGAAGATTGAATTTAATCCGTCTAGGCTGTCGCACCTCTGCACGAGGAGAGAAGCAAGAAGAAGGAAATGCACGAGAAAGCTGAAGTAAGATTTATCAGCACTGAAGTGGAAGAATAAGAGCAACAAATTTTTGTCAATAGGAAGCGCCTGAGGGCCCTATGAAGCCATCAGCGGAAGACCGCAGAAAACGGAGGGCAGAAGAAAGGGAGGAAGAAATAGAGAAAGAACTGAGGAGGGGGAGACAAATGGAGAGGGAAAAAGAAGAAGAAAAAGAGCGCAAAAAGGAAAAGGAAGCAGAGAAAAAGGAAAAAGAAGAAGAAAAGGCGAGAGAAACGCAAGAAGAAGCAGAAAAAGAGGAAGAAAAAAAAGAAAGAGAAGCAGCAGCGAAAGAAGAAAAGGAGGAAGAAAAGAAGAGAGAAGAAATAGAAGGAGAAAAAGAGAAAGAAGAAAAGGAGATAATGAAATTGCCAATACCCCCAATCCCTTCTAAATTACCCCTGCCGAAGATATCACCGGAGGTTTGTTCTCCACCAGTATACTGCTACTTATTCATTTATTTTTTATTTAGTTTTTTGTTACTTATGTTGTTGTTCCTTTTTTATTTATTTTTAAATGCACTCATCTTGCCGCCCAACTGTGCAGGATCTACACCCCACCTGGGCCCCTGAGGAGACGCCGCCAGAAACCCCCTATGTAAACCCGAATTATTCAGAAGAGGAGAAGGTGAGTAATATGCAGTTAAACGAAATATTTAAACCAATTACAGAAGAAAACAACCAGTAAAGCAAACAACAAAAATACAATATGCATCTGTATCCCCTTATTACGTACACCAGGAGGCGCTTATTGAGAAAGAAGAGAAAAAAGAAGGAAAAACAGATATATGGTACGAGTTGATTTGTTCAACTCTCAGATTTAATTCTTTTTATTTATCTGTCTTTCTTTTCAGGATTTGGGTTTATTTCGTTCTTGTTTACCCAGCGATCGTCACGCTTCTGCTGATCTCTCTGGCTTGGTTTCTGTAGCGAAATATATTTTTCTTTATTTTCAAAGAAACAGCAATTTAAAGCGTGCCAGCCAACCATGTATTATGCTGTATGTATACCTGTAAAAAACCACAATATTCTGTCTATCTTTTCAAGTAAATTTCTTTCCATACTATTTTCTAATGGGGAAAATAGTGGCGAGAAGCCGTTGAAACATTGGTGCATGCACCGGCTAGATGCTTCTATAGAGGAGGAAACAAAAAAGCAAAGAAGGAGAAAAAAACAAACAACAGGCGTATTTAATGAAATAAAGAAAAAATAACACCAGATAGATAAACTACTCAAGCGTTTCTGGGAGGTCCCCACCCTTCCCGCTGTTAGTTATTTCTGTGAAGTGTTCAAACTAAATGAAAATATGCATTTAATAACTTGCATCAGTTGTATTTTTTCATTATTTCAGATCCAGCTAGAGGAGAATACAGTCAACTGCTCTCAGTTGACCCGACGCTACCAGTGGCTTTATTCCCTTTCTCTCTTCGTTTTTAGAGTTTTAGTAGCCGTTTTGCATTTAAAATCGAACAAAACAATCGAATAAAAAGAATTTGTTATTGCCATATGTACTGCAGATATATGTATAAATATACGTATATATATATATATATATATATATATATAGGTAGGTAGGTATTATTTTATGCATCTCCTTCAGGTACCGTAGCAGTATCAACATCAACCCCCCAGCGCTGCCCCCATCTGTCCGTCTACTTTGAAATATGTTTTCATTAGAGACTAATAAGTACAATTTAAATTAAAAATATTTTTTAGCCATATGCTTCTTCTTATTTTTAAATATTTCGACAGATTTTAAGCATTTTCGCTCATTTTCGGTTGCTTTGTCTTCATCAGCCTGCGTCCGCTTCGTCTGCACACTTCAGCGTTTCAGCCCCGAAGGTTTTCCTCCTTGATTCCCAATTGTATTTGTAATTTCAGAATAAAAAGGTATTTTAAGTTATAAGTAAGTGGATTCTAAGATTTTCTTCGCTACTTTTCGATCGGTTTTGCCCCCGAGGTAAAGGAGAAGTAACTAAACTCTACTCAGATGCGCCTTACCTCTGTAAACATCGGCGGTCTTGGGGCCCAACTGCGTGCAAAACAAGGATTTTCTGAAGATTTATTACATTAAATATTGAAGTTTTAGATGAAGTAGGCATGTTTAGGACTGGAAATATGACGAAGCCCGAGCAAGAGGCACTGGACCTCTCCGGTATAAAGAAAGCAACACAATTCAGCAGCAGCAAAGCCAATCATTATGCAGCCCCTGTGCCGTTGAAACAAAATAACAAAAAGGCAAAAGTTGTCTTTTGTCTCTGTAATACGAAATACCGAGTCATAAGGAAAGTTTGTTCGAGCTTCCCGGGGTGGGTGGAGTGCGACAATGAGGAAGACGACTGGGTAAGATGATTAACTCATTTGGCGAACAAGAAACAGGAAACGAAGAACAAATAAACAACCGAACAAACAAATAGAAAATGAGTAACGAAACACCAAACACGCAAACAGCTTTGAATGATTGGCAGTGGTTGGGGGAGATGCACAGAAAAGACGAAGCGACAGAAGAATTCCAAACGACGACATGGATAGAAAACAGAAAAATGAATATTCTTCATGCACAACAACAGAAAGAGAGAGAGTTAAATAGAGCAAAAGCTTACCTTCGTCCGTGAATTGGATGTTTTACTTCTTGTATTGGTTTATTATTATTATTGCTATTAACTCATTTGCACGTATCCCTTGTTCCTTAGCGTGTTTTGTTGATTGTTCTTCCTTGAGTTGTTTCTTTTATTGGGCGTCTCTGCATAAAAACCCCTTTAACTTCTTTTAAAGGCACTTAGCTTCATTTCCCTTCCTTTAAAAAGTATTTTCCCTTACTTCGTTTATCCGCTGTTGTTTACTTTTCCCTGTATTGTTTGGTTTGCTTGCGGCTTACTTTTTTTTTGTCCTTTTAGGACTTACTTTGGACAGACTCCTCCATAAGTTTAGAAAGACTGCTGAAGATGAAACCCTACCAGAAGATAAATCACTTCGTGGGGACGCATGCTATTACCCGGCAAGCATCACGAAGACCAATACTTACGCAGCAAACAACAGCAAGCAACATTTGAAAAATACACCGAAAATCCAAAGCAAACACCTGCAAAAGAAACTTATTTAGTGCAATGCATACAAAACAAGCAACAACTGCCTCTCTATCTGCCTACCTAACTCAAAATAACTCCTTTCCTTCTTGAAGAGATTCATTTAACGAAACGCCCAGCAGCTTCATCTAAAAGGAATATCATTTTTGAACCAACACTCGAAACTTTCTAAAATAACTACCATCCAGTGATAATATTCCTTCAGTCCTGTATGATATACCTCTATAGCTGGTTCGTATGCCTTCACATTCATATTATATTCCTTTACACTCCTTTTAGATACGCTCAAATTGGGTTTTATACACCTTTAAACTCGTTTAATATGACTTTGAGCGTGTTTAATAGACCTTCAAAAGCTGTGCTCACATATAACTTTATGCTCACGTTTTATATATACGTGCCTAGCGTGCCTTTACGTTTGTTTGTATAACTCTAAACTGCTTGATTTTTCCCTTTTCTTTATATCTATAGCACACCTTCAAACGTGTTTAAGATAGATTTACACTGTTTGACTATTGATTGGTTTACTGCTTTTTCCAGTAAAAATTACCTGGGCAGGACTCTGCAGCGCATGAAGGCATATTACCCCAAAGAATATAAATTCTTTCCCTCCACTTTTATTCTTCCTACAGGTGAAGGCCCAAACATCTCCCTTTTCTTATGACTGTGTCTTTCTTATGCTCGTTGTCTAATTTAGTTTTTATTCGTTTGTGTCTTTGTGATATAATGTGTCATTTTTATTTCGTTTATTTCATTGGCGTGTGCCGTTATTAATTTTGTCTATTATTTCTGTTTTTTTTGTTTCCCTTCGTATTCTTCACTTGCGTTCAACGCTGCTCCAATTGAGAAAATAATGCATTGGTGAATTAAATTAATTGTTTAAATTTTGATCCTTAATTTCTCCTGAAGGCGTTTATCTCGGATTGTTTGTGTAACGACCTAAATTCCTGTGTGTGTATGCCTGAGTTGTCGCTTGTTTCTTGTATTTCGACTTCTGCAAATTCATTTCATTGATCTTCCGCACCGCCTTAGTAGAAACATCGTAATTGACGTCTTGACATACTCATTTTCATCATTTCTGAATTGTTCCTGCTTTGTCTGCGTTCAGATGCTGGAGCTTTGCGTGCTCAGTTTTGCGACCGGAAGAGGAAAACATTCATTTTAAAGCCAGAAAGCGGCAGCCAAGGGAGGGGTATTTGCTTAGTTCAAAGCGTACAAGAAATTTGTTTTAAGGAACACCTCGTTGCGCAGAGATATATCCATAAACCTTTTCTGCTAGACGGCCTGAAGTTCGACTTGAGGCTGTACCTCCTACTCACGGGCTGCAACCCCTTGAGGGTAAGCCGAGGAAATGCCGTCATTTGCCGTTGAAACTGATGAAATAATACAAATTAAAATTTTGATTAATACAGTAAATGAAAAGAAAACAATTATATGTCGTCACTGAGGAAATAAATAGAAATAACGCAGCTTCTACTTGCAATCCACACAACAAATGCAAAATTTCAACACAGTGGCGTAGTAGTGAAAAATGTTTGCTACTTGTATATTTTAATAAAACAAGCATAATGACTTTGCATGTTAGTAAATGCACTACGTGTAAACGCCACAACTCAATGCTTTCTTAGGGTTTATTAGGGGATTGCGTGGTTAAGGGTTTGCGTGTGTTTAGTGTTTTGTTTTTATCCTGAAGTTCAGCTTTTTCTACACAAAGAAGGGCTCGTGCGGTTCGCCACGCATGCATACGAAGCCCCAAACAAACGCAATCGCAGCGACTTGTGCATGCACTTGACCAATTATGCAATTAATAAATCTTCAGCAGACTTTCAACAAACAAAAAACCCACAAGAGGCGGCAGATGGACACAAAAGGAGTCTCTTTCACGTCATGGAGAGGCTCAAACAAGACGTAAGCCCTAGATCCTAGGCCCTAAAGAACGAACCTCCAAGCCCAAGCTAGCAAAAACAACGACAACATGCTCGGGGACAGGGTTTAGAGTTTAGAGTTTAGGGGTTTCCTTTTCTCAGTCAAACCCAGATACCCAAGTGGCAACCGCACACAAAATATATCCATATATATATGCATATATATATATATTATGTATACGTAGTGAGCGCATATCCATATATTTTAAGCTGCTTTGTGTAATACATTAATGCCAGCGGGACAAATGTTGAAAAGATGCCTGAAATGAACTGAGAAAGGATTTGCAAGACACCGCAGCACGCAGACAAACCCCGCTTCATTAACAGCCTCAGACAAAGCGAACGCTATTTATGCTTGTGCACGTTTCCGTATTTATGCTTGTGTTCGTATTGGCGTTTGTATTTGTGCTTATGCTCATCTTTGTGTATATACTTACCTTTGTGTTTGTGCGTATGCGTGTTTATGCTTATGTGCTTGTTTATGTTTGTGTTTATGTTTGTGTTTATGTTTGTGTTTATGTTTGTGTTAATGTTTATATTATTTGCATTTGTGCTTTGCTTTTGTTAGTGTTCATCTCTGTGTTTATGCTTATGTGTATTTGTCTATATTAATGCTTATATTTATATTTATATTTGCACTTGTGCACTTTTAAGGGCAAAGACGTGGAGTTGTTGAAGGAGAAGATTTGCGCTATGTTGGTGAAGACAATAATTGGCATTCAGCCGTCTTTAGCACATATTTATTCTTCTTGCCATTCAGAAGACGAAACAGATGGAATGTGTTTTGAATTGTTTGGGGTTGATGTCCTCTTAGACCATAAACTGCAGCCTTGGCTTATTGAGGTCAGTACTCCTTAATATATGCACATACATATATATACACTCTTATAGATACAATCTTTTATTTGTTTATCTTTATAGACTTATATGATGCATTCATACACTATATGAAGCACATCAAGCTTCGGTACAAATATACATGCTATATATATATATATAT